CTAAAGATGCTACATGCTTTTTTATTTTTTTAATGATACTTTAATATTTTAATGATAGATAAAAAAAATTAAATAAAGATGCTACATGCTTTTTTATTTTTTTAATGATACTTTAATATTTTAATGATAGATAAAAAAAATTAAATAAAGATGCTACATGCTAACACACACCTGGGAGAACCTGGGCGCTGCTTGTCAGAGAGGATAGTTTTTATTTAATTTAGGATAAATGTTATAAAAATAAAAGTTTTAAACTAGTAAATATTTTAGTGGACTTACAATTAGTGGAACCTAATTTAAAGGAAGCTAATTGGTCCATTAACAGTTTCCAAAGTTAGCAACAAAAGCTAATCCGCTAAATGAGAAGCTAGTTCTGCTATTAGCATTTTAGTGGAACTGTGCCCACCASTGCCCGGATAAATACGAGTCATTTTGTTGACGTTGATGACAGGGTCAAGTGGGACGAGTTGGACCAAAGGGTGACCACGGATCCAAAGGAGAACCTGGGACATTAGGGCCAAAAGGAGAGCCTGGAGTACAAGGCCCAGCAGGAGAACAGGTTCAAATAAGTTTTAGTCCATTCAGTCAGTCTTTAAAAAAAAAACATGTTATTTTTTTATTTGTGACTCATGTTGGTGTGTAAATAATGAAAAACCACTTGAGTGATTCWGATCCCGTCTGCAGGGTGAGGACGGTCTTCCGGGAGTTCGAGGTCCTTCAGGTCTGCCAGGGTTGGAGGTGAAAACTCAATTCTTACCAAGAAACTTTTTTTTTCTCCGTCAGGTCTGAATTTGTGCTTAGTTGTGTTATTTGGACTTCTTTTCAGGGGGCTGGTGGAGAGATGGGACCCCGGGGTCCAGCAGGTCCAGCAGGTGGTTCTGTAAGTCCCTGTTSTACTTCCTGTTTACTGCATAACAACAAACTGATGGAAAAAAAGGAAGAATCGATTAAAAATGAACTTTGAGCGGTAAAAAAAWAAAATTTGTTTTGCAGGGGGCTCTAGGAAAACCAGGACATGAAGGGGAACAAGGCATGAAAGGAGAAAAGGTAAAAGCAATTATTATGAATTAAMAGTATCTTACCTGTTGTAGATRGCTCATTGGGTGACCTCAGYTTGGAGAAATATTTTACTTCAGACTAAACTGACAAACTAAYGTCTCATCTGATAAGAGTTTCTTTGTTGCTGATCCGTTTATTTGTCTCAAACAGGGAGACGATGGTGAAACYGGACCACCAGGGAAGACCGGCCCCTCTGGAAGGAGGGTAAGATCCTTCAGGTTTTTGTTGTTGTCCTCGTTTTAGAATAATTTGTGAAGTAATTATTTTTTCAGTGCTTAAAAAAAGAAATTGTTGCAGTTTGAATTATTTTAACAAACGGATCAAACTTGTCTTCAGGGAAAACGAGGAAAGGCTGGAGTCAGAGGGACCCGGGGGGACAGTGGACAGAAGGTGGGACAAAAATAAATACAACCTCTCTGTGTTTTCTGTGTGTTTTTGGTTCCACACACTCGATAAGATGGTTGGTGTTTTTGTCTTTAAGGGTATAAATGGAGGTGATGGACCAGAAGGCCTCTCCGGGTGGCCCGGGTCTCTTGTAAGTCCTGTAGAACCAGGTCTGCTCTGAAACGTCGTCCTCAGCCGTCGGTTTTATGGAACCATTCTTAGGATTGTCTAAATATGATGAATTTGCATTTGTTTATTTAATTATTTGTTTTGTTTTTGTCACAAAGGGACTTCCTGGTTTACAAGGAGAACAGGGAGATCCAGGTGAAAAGGGGGAACAGGTAAAACAATTTACAGGTGATATTTCACTGCAGTTTTGTTTCAGCTTCTTTTCTTTTATCAATTTGAATTCATTCCTGTAGAATTTGAAGCTACAGCGTGGCTAAAATGTAAATATTTGTTTTGTGATTGATGTTTAACTGCAGTCTGGTTGTCCTCAGGGTGAGAAGGGAGACAGGGGACTTCCTGGACCACCTGGACTGGACGGGCTAAAGGTTGTTTCTGAATACTTTTGAATTAGGGTTTACAAGGTTCAGATAAACAAAACCTCATTCACCAATCTCCTATTGGATGTTTTTTGTTTATTTTCAGGGTATTCGTGGCCCAGTTGGTTTGCCAGGTTCAGCGGGCCAAAAGGGAGAACAGGTACAGAAAATACGGCTGTCATTGCTCATCTCTAAGCAACATYTGCATAAAGCTAAGAGCAGAAGCACACTGCTGAAATGTGCTGAAGAAGATGATATTACKTTAAGCTAAAAGATGTATACCGCCAGTTAAACATGAAGAGATGAAAACCTAGCTGAAACTATCAAAAGGAAGAAAAGGCAAGCTAAAACCTAAATAAGCAAAGCCCTGAATAAAWCTACAAAAAGCTGGCTAAARCCTAAAGTAGCAAAACACCAGCTAAATGCTAAAAATAACAAGAGGCTAGCTAAAAGCTGAAAGTGACCCAAGGATAACTAAAACATAAACGCAGCATAAAAGTAGCAAAAGTCCAAGTAAAATTGTCAAAAAGATGGTTTGAAACTAAAAGTAGCAAAAGGCCTGCTACATTCTGAAAGTAGCAAAAGGCTAGCTAAAACCTAAAAGTACAATGATTGTAGTGGTAAACTTCAGCCACTAGTTTAACAGTAGCAAAGAACTAACTAAAATGATCAAAAAGCTAAGTCAAAGTCAAAAGTAGCGAAACACCAGCTAAAAGCTATTAGTAGCAAATGGCTAACTAAATGCTGAAAATAAAATAAGCAGGGTTGGAAGAAGTAGCTGAAGCGGATTTCAGAGAGAACAAAATTTTTGAAGGAATTATATATACGTACAGTATATGTGAGAATTATTTATGAATTAAATAATCTAAAAAGTATAAAAGTTTGAAAAGTTTAAACTGATCAAATGAGCTGAAAAATGTATTACCTGACCAGCTAAAACCGAATGAAGTATGAAGTTTAGGCTTTTATGTGTTTTATCGATGTGGTTTGAGAATTTTAAACCTCAAAATCTCATGATTGGTTGATTTTTTTTTGTTTGTTTGTTTTTTTGTTTGTTTTGTTTTTTGTTTTTTGTTTTTTTGTTAGGGAAACATCGGTCCACCAGGACCAAGAGGTGGACCAGGGATGCCTGGACTTCCTGTAAGTGGACTCTCAGACTGGTTTTTACTGCAGCAGACAAAAGCAGCTGTTTACCTTGATGAAACTGAAACCATCCAATGATCTGTTCTCTTCTCTGTTGCAGGGCTTGTTTGGGATGAAGGTATGACATCATCAGTTCAGACTCCTCTAACTCTCTTCAGCTCTTTCACTGCCGACCTGAAAGATTTTTACRTGCTGATGGACAAAAACAGATATAAATGTCAAACAGGAAGCGTGCAGATGTGGAGGGTTCCTWCTTCAATGGGTCCCTCTGTGACCCGACCAGGAATAATCTGCAGAAAATGGAGATGGACTTGTTAGTTTGCATCATWGTTGTGCTCATATTTATCATATTATCATATTTAATCCTCTCTGCAGGGTTTGAAAGGCTACCAAGGTCCTCCTGGTCTGCCTGGAAGGAAGGGGCTCCCAGTGAGTTTATAAAAGAGAGAAAAACTAAAATGATCCTGTTTGTGATGCCATTCTCTGAGAACTCTTAATATGCATTATTTTATTATTTTTTTTAATTTATTTTATAAGTACCATTTAATTTACTGTGTTTTGTGTTGTAGGGTCCTCCAGGTGTTCCTGGTCCTCCAGGAAAATCCTTGAACATAACCTTGGCTCAACTCAAGGCAAATTATTTTTATACGTCAAATTATTGTTTCTCAATAGAAGACAGAAATATCAGATAGTTTTAAACTTTAAAATATGTTAGCTTTTAACTACCATTCTACTACTTTCAGCTTTTAGTTAACTTAGATCCTTTTAACATTTAGCTAGCCTTTGTWTAATTTATTTTTTAGCTAGTCTTTTGCTTTTTTAGCTAACTTTTTCTTAAATTTAGCTTACTTATGTCTTTTGATACTTGAATAGCTAGCTGTTTGCTTCTTTTATCTAGCTTTTTGTTACCATAAATTTTAGCTACTGTTCTGTTACTTTCAGCTTTTAATTAACATTTTGCTACTTTAGCTTTTAACTAGTGTTTTTGCTACTTTCTTTTTTAGGTACCATTCAGCTACTTTCAGCTTTTACCTTTTGATCCTTTTAATGTTGAGCTAGCCTTTTGCAACTTTTGGCTTTTAGCTACTCATAGCATTTATCTTTAGCTAATCTTTGGCTTTCTTACCTAACGTTTTCCTAATTTAGCTTTTAACTAGCATTTTGCTAWTTTATTTTTAGCTACCATTCTGGTACTTTCAGTTGTTAGCTTGTGATCATTTTAATGTTGAGCTAGCCTTTTGCTACTTTGGACTTTTAGCTTGACATTGCATTCTTTATTTTTTTAGTTAATCTTTTGCTACTTTTAATTACCTTTTTTTCTAATTTAGTTTCAACTAGTATTTTCATACATTTAACTAGCATTGTGCTACTTTCACCTAACATTTTGTTACATTTAGGTTTTAACTAACTATTTGCTATTTTTGGCTTCTTGGAATTGTGTGGTTCCTTTTGTTTTTAGCTAGCCTTTTGCTACATTTGACCATTTTAGCTGATGATTTCTTCAGAGTCACTTAGCGTTTACAGTTGTGTGGTTAAAGCCAAACTAATCAGCAGAACGTTTCAGGACCTGATGTACGTCTCCGACAAGCCGAACTTCTCTCTGATCCAGTCGCTGCTGGACTCCCTGCAGCAGGATCTTCGGCTGCTTCTGGATCCTCCTGATGGAAGCAAGGAGCGTCCCGCCACCACCTGCCTGGAGCTCTGGCTCTGCCACCCTGAATTCAGCAGCGGTCAGAATCTGCAAACTAAAACTTCTCTTAGGTTTTACTGTCGCTCAGAGCGACAAACTGGACCTTCAGGTTCGTCTCCGCGTCAGTTTCAGTGTTTGAGTTTCTCCTCTGCAGGAATGTATTACATCGACCCAAACCAGGGAAGCCCGGCCGACGCTCTGCTGGCCCACTGCATCTTCAGCTCCGCCTCCAAACAGACCTGCCTTCACCCTTCAGACCCTCAGGTACGGAGACTTCCTGTGAACCAGGCTGGACCTGTTTCCAGCCTCACAAACTCTTTTGTCTGCAGCTGCCCATGAAAGCTTGGCTGGAAGAATCACCTGGAGGAGGATCGTTCCAGTGGCTCAGCCGKTTGGATCAGGGACATCAGGTGAGTAAAACCCTCTGAAATCTGCAGTTCTTTAAAAAACGATTCAGGATTAAAGTTAACAATGTGTTTATCAGTTTGTTTATCCAGGTGCCGGTGTGGTCCAGATGCGTTTCCTGAGGTTGCACAGCGTCACYGCTGAACAAAAGGTGACCTACTCCTGCCACCCGGGACATAAACTGGGCCTGAAGGAGCGAGACGTGAAATTTCTCACAGATTCAAGGAGGCAAAGCTTCCTGGGAGCACTGAAAGACTGCGTGGTGGGTCCAACTTAGGTTTTTATTTAGTGTCAGAATCACAAACAACAAAAGAACCGCTTTAAGTTCTTAGGTTTTATTTTTAGTAAATGTGATAGAGAATTATGAAACTAGACTTTATTAGTTCCCCTAATTATTGTCTGATATTTAGGGGACTTGGTGCAAAGAATCACTTTTCTGAACAGAATAAAGTTTTTGTGAACTTTAAATCAAGTGAGATGTTTCTAAATGTAGAGAAAGTGTGGCTCATTCTGGCAACAAAAACTTTTAGACATTTGTTGGGTGCTGGAAGCTGAGACATGTTTACAATATTCATAACTCAAATGTTAGCTTCACTAACCACTAACCATCTAAACAAGAATCTTAGCTTTGCTAAYGCTAACCCGCTAAACAGATTWAAAAAAAATTTAGTAGAAGCTAATGCTAATYGCTAACACGACTCTCATGCGATCATATTTGTAGTTAGTCAAACAAAAAAAATACTTCAAGGGTATTTTATTTCTTTTTGATGCTCTTAGTTTTAAGTTTAGCTGCTAAAGATGCTACATGCTAACACACAGTGCCTGACACATCCAACACTGCTTGTAAGAGCGGATACTTTTTATTTAATTTGGGATAAATGGCATAAAAATAGAAGTCTTACACTTGGACTTAAAATTAGCGTAACTTAATTCAACGGAAGTTAATCGGTCTTTTCATGAATTTCAAAGTTCGCAGAAAAAGCTAATCTGCTAAATGAGACGCTAGCTTCTTTATTAGCGTAACATGCCCACCACTCATTGCCTGTATGGTTTTGTTTGTTTTTGTTTTTGTGCTGATATGCTCTGTTCATTCCC